ACCACACACCTCCCAGGCACAGCACCAGCTGCCTCAAGCATGCAGTGCTTGCACTATGGAAAGCCTTCCCAGAGGCACAGGAAGGAGGGCTGGGAGGGCACACAGCCATCCCCAAACCCCTCCTAAAGCAAGCTGGCACAATTACAAGGTGAGTTTGGAGACACCTGCAAGCATCACTGCCTGCACATGCGTGGGTGCCTCCATTGCAGCCCCTCTGATGCTGCAGGGGACATGGCAGCTGTGTGAGAACATGCAGCACCCTCGAGCAAGACAAGGACTGAAGGAAAAACAATGTCTATTTTAGCCTGAAACCACGAGAAAAATCGAGATAGCCAAAAAGAATGAGCAATTTGATCAGGAAACATGAGCGAGGCATCCAGCTCCATGGAAAATACAAAGGGTCTGTCAGTAACCACACAAGGTCAGGATCTGGGGATTATATCTTGTCTGAAAGACATAACTTCCAGTGATATTTTTTAAAATAAGTTTATGTTTGATACTCAATAAAAAAGTTAACTGCCAGAGGATCACAATATTGAATATGTGATGATTTCTGACACTGTTTTCCAGATAACAATGGAAAACCTCATCTGGCTGAAGTTTCCAAGCTTTGTTTTACAAAAGACTTATTCTTTGAGTTATCTGAATGTTTAACTTAGTGGGACAATTATGAATTGTTCTTGTCTGGACTGCAGGAAAAAGAAATCTCACAGAAGTATTGCCCAGGGTTTGATCTTTCTCTGTTGTCCCTTCACAACAGCTGATGCAAGGCTGTGCTGTGTGAATGAGAAGCCCCTCAGTCTGAAGGATGAGCTCTCACTATGGTTTTGGCTAATCCAAGCTTTTCTTGGTTGTGATAGTCCATTTGCTCCTCATGTCATCACTCAGCTCCTTCCTCTTGGCAATGTCAGACTTCGAGAGCAGAACCAGCCCCAAGCCCCATTTATCAGTGCTTCTTTTTAGTGAAACCTACCTAAAAACATCTGGGAAATGGTGAAGGATCCAGTGCTCCCAGCACCAGCCATGGTTCCTGTCTGTCCTTTGGCAGGGGCAGTGCCCTGCTGGCCTTGCCTCCGTGGCTGGGAGCTGGAGGGCTCAGCTGGTCCCAGATGTAGCCAAAGTTCCTGATGCAGTTGCCTGACCATCAGAACCTGGACTGCAGCCCTGAATTCTTTTCTCACAAGTCACTTGGCCAGGCACCAGCTGGTAAATACTTTCAGTCCCTGCATCCCGGGCCTGGGGTGGAAGCAGTGACCTCAAGGTAAAAGACTGCCTGGCCCGTCCCTGGTCCTCTCAGCCTGGCTCTGCTGTGCAGTTCAGGTGAGAGAACCAGAGGGAATAAAAATGCCCAGACAGGGGTGGAAATAGCCATCACCACCTCTCTTGCTGTTTGAAACTGGAGCCAGATTCATTCTGGGTAGGAAACAATTCTCCCATCTTGCCAAAAGCAGAGATATTTCAAAATTTCCCAAAGCCATGGTGTTTTCCAGAAGTCTCATGAAAAACATCCAGCAGCCACCCCAAAGTGTCCAACAGCCGAAGGAGACCTGACGCATCTCCATTTCAGCTCAGAACTCTTGGTTTTTCCAAGCTGGATGTCTGTCCAGCTTCCCCCCTCCATGGGCAGCCCTGCTCCTCTGCAGAGGGGATTTGGGCCAGGAGTGCCCAGCAGCAAAGGGAATGTTCTCCCCACTAAGCCACGGAGCTGGGCTCACCCACATTTTCACAGCCAGGACCCAGGACAGCCTCACTGCTCCCTGCCAGAGATGGACATCCAGACCCTGCTCTAGGGAGGGTGCTTAACACATGATGTAGAGGAAAGAAGGGGAGTCTCCAGCAAAGGAATGGCATGAAGGGAGAATATGCTCAATATCCATCCCAGATGGATGCAATTTCAGCTGAGCAGCGTGTGCAAATGAGAGCTTTTCTGTGTTATTCACGATGGCACGTTAGAGCAGCAAACACGTGAAAAACTCAGCTCTCTAAAATGTGAATTCACTGGGGCAGTTCCTTCATTTCTATAGAAACAGCAGAGCTTGCCAGCGGCTAACTCAAAGGAGATGTAGTCAGATCCCTGTATCAACTATTTTCTTGCACAACCGACCACAAAAAAAAAAAAAAAAAAAAAAAAAAAAAAAAAAAAAAAAAAAATTCTAACCCCCCAAAAAAACCTGACAGTAATACCATGGAAACTGTGGAGTGAGACATATGGACTTAATTACTAGCTCTGAAATCACACGTATGGTACAGAACACTTACAGGTTACGTGCTCCAGAGGGGAAGGGCTATAACAGTATTTATAAAATGAACTGCTAATGTGCTGTTCTGGTGCAGCTTTGCACATCAAAGCATTTGCAGGGGCTGAATTCCTGTGCCAGGCTCTGCCTGCAGCCCCAGCACAGCGACCTGGGTGGGGACATGGGACCCAGAGCTGGGAGAGGGGAAGCTAAAGCCCAAGTCACCCATGGAGAATCCTCTCTGGGAAGGCAGATCATGGGAGACTTTGTGGGTACCCCTCCAGCCAGCTCCACTGGACACCTCCAAAACCCAGCCAGGTGCCAGTGAGGATTGCCAATGCCATGAGAATGTGGGCAGCTTGCCAGGCATGGGATGCTGGGTTTGGCCCCATCTGACTGCTTGACCTGGGGGTGTTGGCTTGGCTCAGGCTTGACTCAGGCTCTCTGTCACTGCCTGAGCTCTGACAGCTTCCTGGTGATGTCAAACCATCGCAGTGATGTCACCTCACTGCATCTAAATCTCAGTGACATCAGGGGTGGGGGGAAGCAAGGTCCCCTCTTGCTCAGAGCTGAGGAAAGAGCAGAGAAAGGAGCTGACCCTGTAGCCAGGACACATCAGGTGACAGGGGTTTAATGCTCAGTTGGCTCCCCTGGGCAGCCCTGAGCCTCAGCCTCCCCCAGGGGTGCCCTGCTGCCCCCTGAGACCTCACACACGGCTCTGTCAGCTGCTCCAAAGGTGCTTCCTTGTGGGAAATGAGAGGTTTTTATTTCTGTTACCAGAGCTGTCACTTGATTTCTAACTGGGAAATGAACTCAGGGCCATTAATCAGGAATCCCTAATAAACACAAGGCTGGAATAATGAATTGAACTGTCCCCACGTGGCAGGGCTGGATCAGTACTTTGGCTCTCCCAAGCCACTCCCAGGATGTTTGGCTGAGCTGTAGCCAGAGGGAGGGCACCGGCTGTGGAGCAGAAAGTGGAACACCAGAGGTGTCTGCAGCCTCAGGTATCAAACCCTCGGGCTTGTGAGCACCTGTGAGTGGGTGCTGAACCACCCCCCTGCCAGTGAGTTCGGAGCAATGTGCCCTCCTCATGCCTCCCCTGCCACGGGCAGGGCTGCCAGAGCAGATCCCCGACTCCAGGCTTGGCCTGGGTGGTGCACAGAGCTGGGGCTCCGCCGTGCAGAGCAGAGGCTCCAGCACTTGCATAAGTGACAGCAGCCTTTGGAAAGTGTCCTGGTGTTCCCACAAGCTGACATGACCTCGTTAACAGCCTGGCTGCAGCTAATGAAGCACAGCCACAGCAGGGATTTGGGGTAGTAATGTGAGAGTTCAGCCTGCCCTCCTCCCTGCTGGGCTGTGCCCACCCTGCTCCGTGCCCTGGCTTCCAGGCTCTGGAAAGCATGGAGCTGAGCTCAGGATTGCTGCTCAGGTGACTGAGAACCTGTTTCACAAAAGCAAAACAGAGGGGAAAAAGGCCAGAGGGAGAGATGGGGCATCACCCTTAGCTGTGTGGTTTTGGTGTTCTGCTTGTGGCAGCCAGCAGCTCCTGTGTGTTGGCCATCACACACCTGATATCTGGCAGCAGTTCTCATGCCTGGATGCTACAGGCAGTCTGTGCACAGCCACCAGGATCATCCCTTGGCCAGCACAGGAGCAGCAGTCCTGGCCCCAGCACACATCCTGCAGGCAAGGGGCAGGGGTGCAGGAGAGGAGCCAGGGAGAGCTGCAGGACATCCTGCATCCTTCTGCTCAGGCCTCTCCTTTGGGCTCTGGGCCCACAAATTGTCCTCTCAAATCTTGTGATAAGATCTGGGGAATGGGAATATGGGGAAGTGGCTCTGTCTAGTGTAGGTCTTGAGGAGCTTGGGTTTGTCTTTCCTAAGAGCCAGCCCCAGATCCTCAGTCACAAGGGACAAGAGAAAAGCTTGCACGGGACAGACTGAGGAAGCATTGGGAGGCAATGACTGAGCACCTGCTTTTCATCCCCAAGCTTGGATTTCTAATTCTTACAATTGATTAAGGCAATCATAATACTTCAGGGGCTGAATTTGCGTTTTCAGGGCTTGAAATCAGCAGGGTCAGACTGCTGCCCTCTCTGCATCAGCTACCCGAGACAACGCAACACGATGTGCATCCACCCACCCCACCGCCTCCCCAGGTGGCCACAGTCCCTCTCAGGATGGAGGTGATGTGGCAGCAGCAGCACCACAGCAAATCCATTTCCAGCTCCTTTGGGTGCCCCCTCTTCCACAGCCTGCCCTGCACTGGCTGCAGCATTAAATACAGAGGTGGATGCCCTGTTGCTGCCTGGTCACAGCATTGTCCCACAGCAGCAGCAGGGACACTCCTGCCAATCCCTTCAAATCCCAGGAGGAAGGTACCAGCTGTGCCTGGGTAGACTTTGATCAGAAGGATAGGGCATGAAGCTTCCCTCCCACGCTAGGGAAAGGGAGCTGGATCACCCCACCAGCCTGGTTCCCCAGCCTCTCTCCCCTGCTCCCCAGGGACAGCACAGCATCCCTTCCCTTCACTCCTTGTCCTGGTGGACAGCACATTCTCACCTTGAGAAGAGTGGAAATGGCAGCTGGAATGTGGGCTGGAAAAAAAAAAAAAAAAAGAAAAAAAAAAGAAAGGAAAAAAAAGAAAATCTTGAGGCTTGTCCAAACCTACTCATGTTTATATTGGAGCCTGTGAGTGACATCAGAGCAGGGAGAGTATAAACACCAGCAGGACCCACTCTGGGCTTTAAAACCTGCGAACACTGCCTCCAAACTGCCTGGGGGGTGATGTGCTGAAGTGGCACAGGGCAGAGCAGCATGAGGCTCCAGCTGGAGAAGCAGCTCCTCTTCCTCTCCCTCCTCTGCATTCTCTCCAAGGTAAGGGATATGGGGCACTGGGGCAGCTTCAGCCGTGGAGCAGCCGGTTCTGGCGAAGCGGGGTGCAGGAGGGACTGGGGTGTCACCAGGAGCCCGGTGGCTCTCCCGGCCGGCAGCCAGGCTGTGTGGATGCAGGGGGCAGAGCTGCGCTCGGAGAGGTGTTTGGGATGAAGCAGCAGGCTCCGAGCGTTCCTGGGCCGAGCTCGCTGCGGGTCCCCGGAGCGCGCAGCAATGCCAGCGATGCGCCGTGCGCTCCCGGCCCCGCGCCCCGCGCCGGGCTGCGCTCGGGCCCCGCCAGCCAGCGAGCAGCAGCTGGGCGGGAGCAGAAAATCCAGGCTCCTCCAGGCTCCTCCGGGCTCCTCCGGGTTCCTCCGGGCTCCTCCATCCCCGCCCAGGCTCCCGAGGCAGGGGCCAAGCCACGAGCACCAGCCCCGGCATTACTCAGCTCTCCCCACTTCTTGGAATGCTCCCGCCAAGCCAGTGCCTCCAGTGGGATTTGGGTTGTTGCAGGGGAGATTTTATTATTTTTTTTTCTCTTGGACTCTGTGTGAAAATATTTGCCTGAACAGAGAACAGGAATGTTGAAGAATTTGGGGCATCTCAGCTCCAAGTTCTAATTGCTGCTTGAATCCCCAAGGAGGGATGTCGTGGCCACGTCGTGCCTATTTGACTCTTTTCCCAGAGTTCAGGTCTCTGACAGAAACCACATTGTCATCTAAAGACAAGTAAATTGCAAGGAGCAGGGAGAAATGGATTTATGGCTCAGCTAATCTTTCTAAAACATCGATTTGTAATAACAATCTCCTGAAAGATGAAAAATGCCCTTGGCTGCCTGGGTAAGCTGTAACAGAGCAGTGGTTCTTGCCCCAGGTGCTCACGAGTGCCTGGAGAATCACCAAGGACCATCGTGCTGCCAGCCCAAACCTGGCCACCATAGCCAGTCCCTCGGTCCCTGCCACATTAATAACACTGCTCACTGGCAGACCTAGAGCAAGACCCAGCTTACCCAATCCATTTTGGATATATTTAACTCCAATTATTGGCACTGACACTCCTATAGCCCCATGAAAAGCATCTGAACTGCTGCAAATGGGGAGCACATAGAGCACAAGGAGCTACTCTCTCTGTCTGACTCATCATGTCAGACCTGATGCCACTGGGAGAAACTGAAAGAAAAAGAAAAATGTTATCTAAAACTTACATGGTCTGGCTGAGCCCATCGCTGTCCTGGCAGACTCGGCAGTCACACCAGGATCTGGACCAGGGCAGGGATGAAGGTTTTGGTTGCCTGTTTGCTGTGCTGCACATGCTGGCCCTGCACCAGCACCATGTGCATGGAGCTGAGCAGCAGAGCTGCCTGGGGGCTCACATCACTGTCAGGCCAGCACTGGCAAAGGATTCACTTCCAGACTGCAGAGCCAGCTCTCGTGGCTTCAGGCTCTATATGCAACAGCTCTGTCACGTGTGACATGATGGGAGCTCAAGAGCTGCCTAAAAGAGCTGTTGGGGCCAGGGTGGTTGTGCAAGCAGGATGAGCCAAGGGTACAAACGTCCTCCTGCCCAGGTGAACTCCCGCGGGCACCTCCCTGGCAGACAATTGGCTGAGCAGGCCAAGCACTGCAGTGCACAGCCCTGCCAAAGTGATTATTCAGTCTAGCCACGAGGGAAAACAGCTCCCAGTCCTTGAAGACATGCCTATCTCCGGGCTCCTTGCCCAGTGGGCCAGGCCAGGTGAGGATGCTGCAGCCAGGGACAAGCAGAGGATGCAGCTGGACCAGTGAGGAATGCAGTGAGGTCTGCTTGGCTTCAGATCCCCACTGCTGATGCAATGTCCTGTTTCTTGGCATGAATGAGAGCTCTTAAGACTGTAAGGAGTGAGGTGCTGTGCACTCACCACATTCATTCTGTCTCTGCAAAGCCACCTCTCCTGGGCTGGGCACAGCCTGCTGCCTTGGGGGCAGGTATGGGGGTGGGATGCTTTACCTCCCTTCCTTCCTCTCTCCCACTGGGCTGTTTGGGGCTGCTGAACTCATTAAATAACCAGCACTGCCTGGGATATTCACCTTGTAGCTCCATCCTCCTGTGTGTTCAGAGCAGTGGCACATTAAAGTCCCCATCTTTCAGAGTTCTGAGCATCCTTGATTCTCCATGGTTTTCCATAGGTGCCCTTCAAAGGGGACAGTAGCTTTCCAGGATGCTTTGAGATATTCCCATGGATTTGGAGCCTCCCTCCACCAAAGGCTTCCCTCCACCAAAAATCTGCCCCCATGGTTGAGACAAAGTTACCTGGCTGTCCCAGTGACAAAATCACCTGGCTGTCCCAGTGACAAAGCAGCTGCCAGCCAAAAACCACCTGTATGGATTCAGCTTTGCCTCCACAGGTTTGTGCCCAGCTGTGCCGGAGACCATGCTACTGCCCCTGGGTGCCACCCCGCTGCCCCCGCGGGTCCCCCCTGGTCCTGGACGGGTGTGGCTGCTGCAAGATCTGTGCCCGGCGCCTGGGAGAGCCCTGCGACTTCCTGCACGTCTGTGACCAGAGCCAGGGCCTCGTCTGTGACTACAGCTCAGCATCTGCAGGGACAGGAGGCACCTGCAACTGTGAGCACAGGGGTGCCCACTTTCCCCGGGGATACCCCCACACTCCAGCCCAGCTCCAGCCATGACCTCACATGGCCACAGGCATCCCGCAGCACCACCAGGGGAGAGGTTGAGCCTAGGAGAGCAGCTTCCCTGAGGATGATGCATGCAGCTTGGCCGTGGGGCTGTGCCCCATCTGCTGCCAGCTTTTGTGCTGCTTTCTGACTGAGAATTCAGGGTGATTTCAGTGAGAATGGACAGGGGAGTCCCAGGAGTGCTGCAGTCACCCAGCCAAGGCTGGAGCCTGGAGTTCTGCAGAGAAATCTCAGAGAAACTTTTCCTAGCCTGGAAATCCTGAAGGCAGGGTCAGGGCCAAAGAGCAGGGGGGTTCTCGCAGCTTGTGAGCTGTTGCTTTGGAAAAACAGAGAGATGAGAGAAGACGGGGAAGGGGAGGAGACTGAGTGATGAACGTGTTGCTGCACACCCATGTCTGCCCTGCACACCACTCGGTCAATTCTGTGGTGCCCCCACCTCAATCCCTTTGTCCAGCCCCACCGTTACCCCCAGCACTGTCCCCCAGCCATCCTCATCTCTGTCCTTCTGTCCCTAACGGGCTGTCCCTTGCAGTTGAAGACGATGAGGAAGGCTGCGAGTTGAACGGCCGGGTCTACCGAGACGGGGAGGTTTTCCAGCCCAGCTGCAAAATCCAGTGCCATTGCTTGGACGGGGGCTTCAACTGCATCCCGCTGTGCCAGGAGGATGTGCGGCTGCCCACCCCGGACTGCCCCTTCCCCCGGCGCGTGGAGATGCCAGGGAAGTGCTGCCCGGAGTGGATCTGTGAAGCCCAGGACCAGCACCTCCCCTGGGATGCCAGGGCAGGTAAGATGCAGGGCAGCTCCAGGGAGAGGGCCCACCACGCAAGTCTCTGGGGATGGCTGTGAAACATCAGCAGGAGACACGTCACACGTTTCTCTGCCACGCAGGGCTATGCCTGCAGCACCACACGGTGCACAGCACCTGCCTCCTGTGGTGTTGCATTTTAGTTAAATGGTATGCTTTCTCTCACCCCTCGACAATGTAAGGTTTGTTCTAAGCTGTGATCCTCTCCTGAAGTATCATGTCTCTGTAATCCCATTGGCCCAAGTCTTATTCCTCACCCACTTTGAATCTCCCTGTTAAGCTGTGCGAGGGAGAGGCGGGTCTCTCTTGGCCCTTTTCTTCCTAGGCTCTCCCTCTCTCTCCCTCCCTCCCCCTTACCCCTTTCTCCTTCAGTAACCATGCTGCTCCCGGGGGTGGGACCCCCAATAAACCCTCATCTGATCAGCACCCTCAGAAGCCATGGGGAGTCTCCTTGCCTGCCTGCTGCTGCCAGCGAACTCACAGCCAAGGGGGCCCTCCGGGCACTCCCCGGGGAGCCCCCCATACGAACTGCAACACCTCCAACCAGCCTTTCCCCTCTGTCCTTTCCTGCAGCCCCCGGGGCAGTGTCCCCGCTGCTGCGCTCCCCCTGCCCGCCGTGGGGCACGGAGTGGAGCGCCTGCTCGGCCACCTGCGGGCTGGGCTTTGCCACCCGCGTGTCCAACCAGAACCGCTACTGCCGGCTGGAGACTCAGAGGCGGCTCTGCACGGCCAGACCCTGCCCGGCCCTGCCCGCAGCGTTCCCGGCGGTGAGTGAGGCTGGGGGAGCTGCTGCCTCTGGGCACACGGGGACTGACTCGGGGAAGTGCCAGCAACACCTGCCTGTGGGCCCCCCATCAGCCCTCCTCAGCCATGAGCTGACCGTGTCTCAGGGACACACGAACCATCTCCTCTTTGCTTGGGAAACAGCCGATGGCGGGTGCAGACCAGAATTTTGGGGTGTCTGGATGTCTGAATCCAGGAGCACTGTGGATCCCACACAGGTGAGCCCGGCCTGCCCCTATGGCCAGAGATAGATTTGCAGCTCCTGCCTGGCTCCCTGGGCACACCCGGGAGGTGCTTCTGCCACCCCTTTATTAGCCTGGCACAGCCCCAGTGTGGACACAGTGCTAATCTGCCTTTCTGGCGTGCAGGTGGCACTTTCTGCCCACTTCTTTCCCCCTGCGCTGCCATGCTACATGCTCCCCAGCTGCGGGGGACACACCACCAGCACTCTCCATCTCCCCACTGATCTCCATTCTGCCTTTCCAGAGGGGAAGAGGAGGTCGTTTGTAGCTGTGCCCACCCCGGATTCACCCTGGAGCCAACGCCTCATCCCGGCAAAGAGTCTGGCACAAACCCATGGCACTGTGGTTATGGTGAAGATGAAGGGTGTTTCCACTGGGAAAACAGAGAAGAAATGATGGACTTCGGCTGCAAAGGAGGTTGGAAGCAGAGAACAAGATCCCTGTGTCACACATCACCTGCCTCCTCTGTACACTCCGCTGCCCCAGGCAGGGTTACTGGGCAGCATTCCGAGTTCCTTAGGCTGAATGAAATGGGAAATGGGGAAATCCTTATGCTCCAAGCATAAACCCACCCAAGAAACCAGGAATTGGTCGTTTTCTGGATCACTGGGGCTTCTGAAGAGATGATGCTGCTTCTCCACCACATCATGCAGCTCTGCTTTGCAGGGACTTCAAGAGAGACCACCTCCTGGCGCCTGGAAGCCAAAATCCCAGGAGGAAACCCTCATGCCCTGGTCCCCCAGGGAGGGAGCAGGTCATCAAGCTGCACCCCGCAAGTCACTGCCACACCAGGCTGAGCTGCTCAACCATGCAGGAGCTCAGCCAGCCCATGGTACCCGCCCTGCCTTCCCGGGCACGGGCAGGGTCCTCCTGATGGCAGCTCTAACTCACCTTCCCCTCATCCCTCCAGAATAAACACGAGCCTTCCCGCTCTGCCTGGCCTCCTCCTCTCCAAAGCGCTGGTGGTTTGGCAGGGCTCCGGCAAGCGAGGAGCTCAGACAGCGGATCCTCCGCCCCGCAGCACCAGACATTCCCCGCCTGCCATCCAAGCACATTCCCCGCGAGCCGGGGCCGAGGGAAAAGCAGGGAAGAGGGAAAACAAATCGCAAAGATGAGTCGGGGCCGTCTCCCGACGGGCTGGAGCTGCTCCAGCCGTGCAGGAGTCGGCGCAGGAGAGCTGCTCGGCTGCTCTGGCTGCGCTTTCTCCCAGTAAAAAGTCCTTGTGGGTGATGGAAAATGAAACCCAAATGCCCTCTAACGGCCTGGCACAAACGTGCAGAGGGAAGGCGCGTTCCGCCGCGGCAAGGGCAGTGGAAGGAGCAGCGGTTTGGGTGACGTGTCCAGGTGAGAGACGGACTTCTTAGATGGGTATTTCTGGGACTAAAAATAAAGATGTGCTCATCCAGGTCTGGAGCTTGTCTGTGCAGGGCGAGCCCAGCCCTGCTGCTCAGGGCCAGCTCGGTGGGTGCAGGAAAGTCCTGGCACAGGGTGGGGCAGCTTGGAGGCACCTCAATTCAGGCTGCTTAGAGTAAGAGAAGGAAAAAGAAAAAAAATGTGAATCAAAGCACTAAACACATTATTCCAATTTATTACATCCTGGGTTAAATCCTTCACTCTCACCCAGCCATAAGCTCTGCTGATGGCACCAGCTCTGGCCATAGCAGTGCCCAGGCCTCCAGTGTTGGGATGCAGGAGAGCAGGGCAGGGCATGGCACTGCTGCTGCATCTGCAGCCACAGGCACAGCCTCTCCTGAGCTCCCAAAAATCAATGCCCAAACTCCCCTGTAGCTCATCCCTCCTACTGCCAGGCCCACGCCTCCTCCAGTTCCCCTGGGCTGGGATTTCCCCAGCATGGTGCAGCCACCATCAGCTGCCTGTGCTGCTGACCAGGGCAGGTCTGGGGGTGAAGGGGCAAAAGGATGAATGGCAGGGGGAGCTCCTCTCTCCAGCCCAAGGAAAAGCCTCCCCTGCAGCAGCAGAAACGGCAGCAGGGCCACGGTAACTCACTCACTCCCTCAGGCCCTGCAAGAGCTGAAAAGAAAATGAAAGTAAAGGATGAAGTTCAGCCACCTCTTGGGGGTAAAAAAAAAAAAAAAAAAAAAGGAGAAAAAAAGAAATCTCGCTGCTCTTGCAGTAAAACATTGCCTACAAAGAGAATTATTTACTGAAATCATCTGGTGCTCAGCCTGAATACAAATCATTAATTCTGTTTGATATGGGGCACATGGTGAACCTCCAGCAAGCAGCAAATCTCAGAACAAACAGCTTTGGTTGGCTTTTTTAGTTCTCTGGTGGCCATGCCAAACAAGTGGTGACCTAAAGTTCATGTAGACTTCAAAACTACCACATTCCTCGACTGACATGGATAAAACATGTTGTGGGTACTGAAAATCCTGGTTTTAAGCCAGTTCTTGTTCAAGCATGTTTGGACTCGGCCACCAAGGCTGGGTGAGCTGCCAGGGCTGTCACACACTCCCAGATCCTGCCTAGTCACCTCTGGGTGATGGTAAAAATCAGAAGGTCACTTTTTAGACAGCAACCTGCAATTCTCATCTCAAACAAATGACTCAACACACCTCTGCTATAATTATCTTTTTTTCCCCCCTGCAGAATGTCTCCCTGATTCACTAAGCATCTAAATAATGAATTAATGATTCCAAATAAATCAGAGTTATTTTTCCCTATGAATACAGGGAAATCAACCCTTGCAGTTTGATTGCTAGTCTCACAATATTTCCCTCTAAAGCCCTGCTACCCTGGAAACGTGGTTATTTGGGGCTCTGACGCAGGGTCCTGGCTTTGCCTGCTCGTGTGGGGCAACAGAGGAATATTCCACCCCATCCACAAGTAACGTGGAAAGATAAAAATCCCCAAACTGAAAGAAAATTTACGCCTGTCCTCAAGGCACAAGGCAACATCTGCACACAGCCTGGGATCTGCCAACCACACTCCCGAGTCAGTGATGAGCAGCAGATCACAGCTCATTTCTGTGCAAGCACACGCAGCAGCTGAAGGAAAACTGTCCTGCTGGATGAGTAAACAACATGCATCAGAATTGCTTTTCCAAGCCATTCTCATGATTTATGATTTTTAAATGCATAGAGCTGGGTGAGAGAGGGCTGGATGAGCCCCTTGTTACAGTGAAACATTTTCAGAAACTGAGCACAGGAATGCAGTGCTCAACTGAAAAAAAAAAATCCAGTAGATCAAATGGGGTTTTTTATTTTTCCTGGAAACACATGATTCAGGTTATGTGTTTGCAGGAGCTATCTTGGCCCTGTGTGCTCATCCTGACATCAGCACTGCTGTTGCCTGCCAGAGCCAGGAGCCAGAGGGGAGCATCCTCATGCAGGATGTTTGGGCAGAGCTGGCAGTAGCACCTGTACTGTGAGTGAAAACATGGTCAAATGGTTTCCTAAAACACCTAAAACACACAGGAGGCAGGCACAAGAGAAAAGATCTGTGATTGTGCCTCCGAAGGGTCCAGGGAATAGGAGATGTGGAGGGCATGGGGCTCCAGCCATTCACGGGCAGTGCTCCCCGTGTCCTGCCCTGCTCCTCTCTTCCCATGGCAGGAGGCACCAGCTCCAAGCTTTCATTCTTGGGACAGGGAAAGCTTTGCCTTCATTGCTGAGAGCAGCTCGTGACCCTTCCCATGATCACAGAAGTCCTCCCAGCCAGCTGCTGTCTCTGCCTCAGTTTCCCCAAAGGTCGATGCTCTGGGGCAAAGGGAACTGTTCCTCTCCTCTCGCTGCCCTTCCACACCTCCATAAAGTTGCTCTGCAAGTGCCACCCCAAGCCCAGGCTGCAGGAGCAGCTGAAGTGCACAGAGGGGAAGGGGGCAGGAGCAGGGCAGGATGTCCTGAGGGGTGCACCCCCATGGACACCCCCTGCTGCTGTAACTCCAGCGGCACAGATCCACCAGAGCCTCTGCAAACCGCAGAAAAACCATTGCTTCACCTCAAGGAAACACCTTCCACACTTCACCTTTTCGGCGGCACACCCATGGTGGTGAGATTTTATTATATAGGCAGGAAATAACACACAACGTTTTCCACCGCTTATCTGCTCCAGCAAGCACTTTCTGAAGTCAACAAACACACTGGCACCCTCAGCACGCAGCTAACCCCCATCCCATCTGCGGCTTGCCCACCGTGTCCCCGAGCTGCCGTGGTCCGGCGGAGATGCTCAGCTGCTCCCGGGGAGGGATGGGCGCGCAGTCGGGATGGCTGGGCAGGACTCACCCTCCCCCCTCCTCCTCCTCCTCCTCCTCCTCCTCCTCCTCCTCCGGCTGATGAGATACCAGCCTCCTCCCACCCCTGCCCGGCTTCAATTCCCGGAAAGCAAGCGGACGCGGTCTTTCCAGAGCCTAGCCTTTCGCCTCAAGTCGTTAATCCAAGGTCGTTTACCTACGGGAAATGGCTTATCAGGGTAAACCCTCTCCCTGCTGATTGTTTCGCCGTTAACTTCCACGTCTGCAGATCCAAGTGACTTCTGGCCCCGTTTATTGCTCAGCAATGCGACCGGGGCTGCCCTTCCTCGGGGTCTGCTTTGGGGTCGCCTCTTTTAGCTCCTGCCCCAGTCTCACAGGGTGTCTCCTGCCTCGCAGCCCATCTCACGTCCTCCCTGCACGGGTCTGGACCGCTCGAAGGAGGAACGGGGAAAGGGTTTTGTGCTTGGGGAGGGAGATAGAACTAGGCAGCAGGAGCAGCTGTAGGGAGGGGGCAGCTCTTGAGCAGGGCTCACTCTGCCTGTGCTGGGGGCAGACACCTGGTACATCTCTGCCTGCTGGCACTGCCTGCGGCACCGGCCGTGGCAGCATGAGCCCCATGGAACACTGCCAGTGTCCTCCTTACCTCTGCTCCCAGTATTCCTGAGCGCTGTGGCCAGGAAAAAGGCTGTCAGGAATGGCAGGGAGGGCGGCTCATGGGGCGCAGGCTTCCAGCCCCCGGTGTGGAAAACTGGGAGGTTTCTCCTGACCGCGAGTGGGACAGAACACAAACAGGCTGAAAGCTTTGGCTGCCCTCTTCAGGCATCCCTCTGCCGCCCCCTGCCTCCTGCTCCCTCCAGGCAGTCCCAGCACCCAAACCAGCCAGGGGGCTCCGTGACCCTGCGCCCGGCTCCGAGCGGGCCGGGGGGAGGCGCCGGGGGAGGGGCGGAAGCCGCTCCGCTGAGGCTCTGTCGGCACATCCTCCCCGTGTCCCGGGGAAAGTCCGGCACCCTCGAGTCCCGGGCCGGGCTCAGCAGGAGCGGGGGAGCCGCAGCCTGTGCCGGAGGACACGGAGCTGCCGCGGGCACCGGTGCCTCCGAGCGGGGCTGCCGCCCTGGCAGCGCTGCCGCAGCGCCCGATGGCTGCGGACGCTCTCTCCGCCTGGCCCGGCAATGGCACCTTGCCTCGGGCTCCTTGCCCCGTGGATTCCGCCTTCGCCCAGCGCTTCCTGCCCGCCGTGTACCTGACCGTGATCCCCCTGGGGCTGCTGGGGAACGGGCTGGGGCTGTGGCACCTCTGCACGGGGCCCCGCGAGGGTGCCCGCCAGCCCCTCAGCCTGCTGGTGGGCAACCTGGGGCTGGCTGACCTGCTCTATGTCAGCACACTGCCCTTCCTCGTCAGCTACTACCGCCAAGGCAGAGTGTGGATCTTCGGGCAGCCCTGGTGCCGCCTCACCCGCAGCCTCTTCCACCTCAACCTCTACGCCAGCATCGGCTTCCTCACCTGCATCAGCATCCACCGCTACCTGGGCATCGTGCACCCGCTGAAGGCGCGGGGAAGATGCCAGGGTGCAGCCTCCTCCGTGTGGCTCAGCGTGACAGTCTGGGTGTGGGTCGTGGCACAGATAGCTCCCGATCTTGCCTTCAGCAAGGCAGATGGCAACAGGACGCAGTGCCACGACACGACAGGACAGGAGCACCTGCACGTTTACTTGCCCTACACCTTTGCTGTCACCGTGACTGGGTTTGTCATCCCGTTCCTCATCATCATCGGGTGCTACTGCCACGTGGTGTTCGTGCTCTGCAGGAATGACAGCGTGGACCCCAGCCTCAGGAGGAGAAGCATCGGGCTGGTGATTCTCGTCATGGTTCTCTTTTCCATCTGCTTCCTCCCCTACCACATCTTCAGAAACCTCAACTTGTTTTTTCGCTGGCGGCCACAAGGGTCCTGCACACAGGCTTCAAAGGACATCTATGTTTCCTACCAGGTGACTCGGGGCCTGGCCAGCCTCAACAGTGCCCTCAACCCCTTGCTCTATGTGGTTACCAGCAAAGACTGGAGGTCACGAGTGAGGACCATCCGCCAAAGCGCCAGACAGTGTCTGAGGCCACCCTTCCGGAGCAAAACCTCTTGCCAGGCAGCTGAGAAGAAGAGGAACGACATTATTTGTAAGGGGGAGGCTTCTAATGAGCTCTGAGGTACCTGACACCCCTGCTTCTGCCACATCAGCTTGTGTTTGGCCCCTCCCCGGGGGCAGCCCCCCACCCTGACACCCGCTTTGCAGAGATGGTGACAGCAGCATCACAGGCTTTGTGCACACAAGGGACAGGCAGGACTGTCAGCATCGGAGAGAAAACTGGGACCAGATTCCAAAAGCAAAACTACTGAACCCAATCATTTTGCCTATGGAAAGAGATGATCACATTTGCTCCAGTCCAAAGCATTTCCCTCCAGCCTCTCCTGCAGCAGCACCCGCTTGCTTCCCAGCTCCTCTATGGCTGAGGGATGGGAGGCAGGACACCTTGTCCCTCCACTGCATCCTCTCTACTCTGCTGTACTTGTGTTTGAGACAGCATTCCCTCCTTCACCTAAGGAGAGATCCTGCATTGCAGAACAGCTGAGAGGGCAAATTTTTGCAGTGGAGGAAGAGCTTTGGAAATGGAAATATTAATTTTAAAATCAGGTTTTAAGTATATTACTAAGCTGTGCCAGTTCCTTAGTGATTGAGCTGTTTCAGGATCTGTGGGATCCTCTACTGCCCACCTCCTTTGCAAAAGTAAAAGACATTTTTGGCATTACTCCCCCTCTTTTGGAAGAGCACATAGCAGAACTAACAAATGGGCATTTTAAAGTTTTTGGAGGCTATTGGTTGGGGTTTTCTTTTGGAAGGTGAATGACTGCAGTAGCCTGAACTCCTGCTTTCAGCAGGAAAATGCCAAGAGAGTTTGCAAATCTTCAGGTGGGTGCTTACATCTTGCATCCAGCCTTGCAAGGGCATTAGATATGACTTGTAAAAATCAGATTGCAAATAAAAAGAGAAGCAGCACTGGCATGAAGGCTTGTGAAGGCAGGATGTGATGGCAAGATCTGTCATCACCAGGGGTGACAGATCTCTGCTTTTAAGCAGAGGCTCCCAAGCAGTATTTTCATTTTTGATCTTAGTGTTACCTACCACAAACAGCTCAAACACTTCAATTCAATAATGTGATTTGCAGCAACAGCAGCTTTTGGAGCCCAGCTGAAGGAAGTGGACTGTGAGTTAAAATCAGCCCTTTCTGGGAAATTACTGGCCCAGGGACAGATGTTGTGCTCTTTTCCTGACATTTATCTCTGTCAGCTGTTCCTCACACAGACCCACCTTAGCTGGGCAGTGGAGGGAGCACAGCTGGCTTTCAGTGCACTTAATATGTCTGCAGTGCAAATAAACACCTCATGCTTTCACTTGCGAGTCGTCTGGCTTCTTTTAAAGCTTTATGGGAGCCTGGGAGCCAGCTGGCCTGTGGCTTGGAGCAGGGGCCTGCCTGCTCAGGGAGTGGTGATGATCTTCCCAGTGCTCTGCAGACAGAAAACTGCTGGGAGACTGCAGGCAGCCAGTGGAGAGTGATCTGTGACAGGCACACACTGAGGAGTCTGCTCAGCATCAGTCAGGGGTGCAGCAGAGCCTGAAGTGTCTAGCTCCCACCTCATCCAGAGGAAAACCAAAGATAAAGCATAAATTCACCAATGAGATCTTCTCTCTCTGTAGGAGGAGGACTGAGACATTAGGATCAGACCTGGTCCCTGTTCCTTCCATGTGCGCCCCAGATCCGGGCTTCTCCAGAGCTCTGAACTCTTCTCCTTTCCTCAACAAACACCCACGCCTCTGAAAGCTGTCCAGCTCTTCCATCTTCACACATGGATCCTGTCTAAGGTGCTACAGCTCCCCAGAGAACCAGCCTTGGCTCCCACAGCCCACGGGAGCTGTGACACTCTGGCACTGCCCCCCCTTTGGGCAGGACTGGCTGAAGTAAAGCATCACCACATGCTGGGGAGGGAGCGCTGCAAACTCTGCAACTCTGCTCTCACCCCTGCATCCTTGTGCCCAGATGTGTCTTCTTGTCTTCTCCAGTGCCACCTCCCTTCACTTTTAATAATGATTTAAAGGTCTGTGTCCTAAGAAGCATCTCTGAGCCCCAGGGACAGTTGCAGGCATAAATCTGCACATTTTTCTGTGTTCTGTATCTGTCAAAGCAGGAAAAGCCAGTAAGGATCTGTGTGTTGGGCTGATGTCTGAGTTATTTGGGGTGGGATTTTAATTATTTTTTAATCTGTAACTTCACACTCCCCTTGAATTGTAGACAGTGCTGCTTCCCAAGTGAACTGCAGGGAATGAACTCTTTCCCTTTATTAGGTGTGTGTGTGTAATTAAGGCTCAACCCCTGGCACATGAGCCTCTTCACAGCTGGTGATGGAGCAACAAAGCTGCCATCCTTCCAGTGTGTGGTCACTGCAGGGATCCTCCTCAAAATGTGTGGGCACAGCTCCCCCTCAAAACCTCCCAGGGCTCCTTATCCCCTGGAAGCAGAGGGTGGGATTGTGCCTGGAGCAACCAGGGCAGCACCCAGCCTGTCCCACGTCCCACCTGTGGCATGGGGAGAGTTTTGGGAGTGAGTAAACAGGCAGGGAGCTACCATAATCATCCTTCCCCTTTTCCCAGCACTCTTCCAGACATTGGCAGGGCCACACACAAGCATTTGCTGCTGGCAGGAAGGGGCTGGTGTCACCAGAGAAGCTCCTGAATCATCACCCCTTTTGGGCTCCTGCCTTATGGCCAGCTGAACATTCCCCTTTCCCTCCCTTGGCTATCTGTGCCATACTCTGAAGATGTCTAAAAGCAAGTGAAAGGAATCCCACCTGCACTCTCTGCTTTTCCACAGCCTCTCTGGTGCAGCAGCATGGCGCAATGGTTTTGTCTGCAAAATCAAGCTGAAAGCAGAATTTTAGCTCCTTTATCAAGATTAGACCCAAGCAATAAATCAAACATGGTGGGAATTCTGCTCCTGACACTAATGGGATCAGGATCAAGCTTGGAAATTTGGCAGCATTTCTTGCTTCATTAAATAAACAGCTCTTGGTTGAGGATATGTTGCAAACACAGTCAAGGTTTGTTATGTTACAGAGAACTTTTGAGCTGACAGCCCAGGGAAGCCAGTCAGGCAGAAATAACAAGCACACGTACAGAGGCACAGATGTACAACCACTTTTTTCCTCCAAAATGCAGAACTGGGGATTTTTTTTGGCATGCAAAACACTCTACAAGAAGAAAATATTGCTATCAGCAACATCTAAATGCATAGAACTCAACTCTGATTAATTCTTCATTTCATTTTGCACACATTAGCTAAAATCTGGCTCTGACCAGTTCAGGAGTGTTGGTGTGGCCAGTGGAGCCCTGATTGCTGAACAAGTGTGGGTTGGCTGCCCTGTGCTCAGAACGTGGGCTCATGCCTTTGTGTCAGAGGCTTCCACAGCCCGGGGGAGCAGGAGCTGCTGCACACAGGGGCTGGGGGTGCTGGGGACGTCACTGTGGCACTGGGATGGTGCACGGGACAAACAGGCCATGGCCATAACGTGAGCGCCCTCTGGCCAGGTGAGGTGTGGAGCTGGAGGAGAAGCAGCCAGAGCAGGAACCTCCCACAGGATTTGGCTCTCCATTGCTCCAGGCACCCAGCAGTAGGACTTTGGTGGAGCATCTTTTACAGCATGGTGGGAGGCTGCAGTGTGCACACAAAAAGGGATGAGTCACTCAGGTCACTAATGAAAGGTCACAGCATCTTCAGATTCTGTGAGAGCCATTTATTTCTTCAGCAAAACAATTTCATTGCTAAAGTACCTTTGGCTGCAGTGACAACAAACCTGACAGGTTATCTTATTTACCAAGGGTATCGATCAGACTGGGATGGAATAGTAGATGCAATTATCCAGGTGAGCTGAGAAAAATGGTAAATATACCTGCCACTGGGGTGCTGTTGGTGAATATTTTAATAAAAGAGAAAAAGCTGAGTCTTTGTCTATACTACACGGAGTGCTTTGGCATCCGAGGGACCAACAGCTTGTGCAGAAGAGAGCAAATCACAGAAATAGAACAACACTTAGCGTGCCTGTGTGAAGCCATCAGTCCAGTAGCACTCCTGCAGTGCAGGCAGTTATAAATAGGTGGTGCCGGCTGCGCGGGACCGGGGCAGCGGGAGAGCGAGCAGCGCACGGCAGCTCCGGCCGCTCCCACCCGGCAGCATTTGTATGTGCGCTGCACAGCGACTGCGGCTGCACCCTGCGGGCACCCGTTTGTCCTGCAGGACTCGCCGAGCCCAGGTTTAAAAGAGTTGTGCCACTTTTTACGCCGTTACTTTAAATATCCCCCCGCAGCAAGAGCTCCTTGCCCCGGATCGCTGCTCGAGGCAGGCGCCAGCACAGGAGCGGGGCAGTGAGGAAGCCCCGGGAGATGCTCAGTGCACCACGACCTGTGCTGCCTCCTCAGCGTCCTGGGAGGAAGCTATCATTTGAATTTTGCCCAACACCTCCGCTCTGTCATGAGCAGGAAACACTCAGATCCGATCTGGCTCCCTGAAGAGCCCTTCGTGCCAACGCACAGCCCAGCCAGCGTGAAATTCTTCTGCTTGTTTGGGCTTATGGGCAAAAAGTTTACCCTGAGGAGCATCAGAGAGCTCCCAGGCTTTCCAAAGGCACAACAGCTCCTACTTTGAGAGGCTGCTTCCGTGCTGTGCTCAGGACATCCAAGGACAGGAGACAGATTAACTCTGTCCTGGCTGCCTTTGCTCACATGTGGAGGTGCAGAGGTGCACCTCTGTGCTCAGCAGAGGTGGGGAGAGCCACCCACCACAGCTCCCAGTCTGCTCTGACCAGCACAGCCCACTCTGCAGAACCTCTGTGTCTCCAGTGGAGGCAGTGGGGAGACAGTCCCACGGCAATGGGGAGCTGCTGGCACGGAGGAGAGCTCAGGGGCAGGTTCACTGGTGGGGGTACCAAGAGACAGGAATTGTCACTGAATGAAATGTTACTCGGTTTGGAGGCACAAACCCCCCTTTGAAAGTGTGTAGTGCTGGCCACACAGTGCCATGCTGAGAGCCCAGAGGAGATGGGGATGCAGTTCCTCTGGGATGCAGCTCATCCATGAACCTGGGGCTATCCAAGACCCCAGCAGGTCTGCACAACCCATCACGAGATGCTGCAGCTTCCCCAGGGCTCTTGGAGGAAAGAAACTTTCTGTGTGCAAAGCTGAAACAACAGATCCATCCCTGGAGCCACTATCCCACCGCACTGAGCTGGGATGTGGGAAAAGCTCTGGCAGGGTGCCCCAGGGCAGACACCAGCTGCACAAGGGCCACAGTGAGGCAGAGGGGCTGCACGAGCTGAAACTTTATTTTCCAGTAGGGCGTGTAGAAGCAGAGGGTGGCTCATGGGCAAGGCAGCACTCAGCCTGGGAGTACAGGACACATCCTCTCCCAACGGTGTAGCACAGGGATGAGTGCTGGATTGCAGCCACACTGCCAATCCCAGCCTGGGGGAGGTTCGCAGTGCCTCCATAAAGGGGGCTGTTCACACGTGGCTCTCAAGCCAGAAACCCCCAAATGGCCTTGCCCCGAGCCTGTGTGATGATGCCCAAGGGATACCCAGAGCATCACCTCCTGTCACTGCTCAGCACCTCAGCTCCTGCCTCAAGAGACACTTACACAAAGGACCTAAAAGTCAGTTAAATGTTTCAGATCACAGAGAAATTTCTGGTTTATTTCTCCATTCATCTCAGGTGGTTTGCCTGCCTCCAAAAAAGCCTATTGTTAATTTAAATCCCTCTAACAGATTCATGGCAGATCTGTGTTCCAGTGCCTGGAACAGCTGTGATTCCTGTGCCACCGTTTGCTGTGTCCCAGGGACACACAGCCCCTGAGCATGGCTGGAAAGAAAGGGCCAGGGCTGGAGCTGGGGACAAGCAGCCGGTCCAGGCAAACAGGGACATTTTTGCATTTGTAGTTCATACAGGATCTGTCTTTTCTCCCCAATTAGTCCTTCCAGAGAAAAGCCTGGAGAGAAACAGCTGGAAACTCTTTGTATATAAACAAGACTTAGTAAAATCTGCAGTTTTAAGGCGGAGGAAGAAACAAGTCCCTAAAACGGTGCTTACGCTGCAAGAGAAAACAGATATTTCATTTTGTTCTGTTCATTCTCCACTGGGAACCTGCTGTGCTCTCAGGCATGGGCAGCAGGAACACTTTCATAGGGCATTTAGAGCTCCCTTGGCTGGGAAATCGCTTGTGGCCCCAAACACAGAGCTGTTCTGGCCAGTGGAGTGTGGGACCAGCCATGGAGCACCACTAGCAGGGGAAGAAAAATTAATCTTGGAGGAATCAAACCCTGCACTGAAATAAGCCGTTGCCTGGCTGGGAAGCTCAATCAACCTCTCAGCACCGGTTCTTCAGAGAAAAACAGGAAAGGACATCTTGAGTTTTACTAATAAATG